TCGAACGTGGTATAGCATTATTCAAATAAGGCCTTATTTCATCACATGTATTCCTGATTCTGTCTATGAGCATATCTCTTGTGGTTACGGGGGTCTGGTTCACTTTTTCTTTTAGAAATCCCCACGCAAAGAAATCTAATGGATTTAGGTCAGGGGATCGTGGAGGTCAGGCGACTGGTCCTCCACGGCCGATCCAACTTTCTGGATAATTTTACGTCCAGCCAGTTTCTAACTATTCTCGAATAATGAAATGGACAACCATCAAGCTGGAACCAGGCCAATCTTCTTAAATCTTACATAACATCATCCCATATATTTGCATGTTGAGCCTTTAAAAATTCCAAGAAGGTCGCAGCATTTAACCTTGCAGGCATAGGTAGGGTCCAAATAGTCGATTACGGTAGATACCAATCCACACGTTCACACTAAATTCATGCTGAAAATTTCTTTCCCGAACTGCATGCGGATTTTCACGCGACCAAATATGTTGATTATGAAAATTTATCACTCCACGTCTAGTGAAGCATGACTCATCGGTCCATAAAACGTTACTCAAAAACTCCCTATTATTATCAATTCTATCAAGAATCCACTAACAAAATATGATTCTTCGTTCTCCGTCCCCTGGCTGTAGTCCTTGCACAGGTTGCAAATGGTAAGGACGTCTATGGTCATTTCTAAGAACACAGTGAACATGGCTTGCTGAAATTCCCAAGGCACCAGAAACTCTGCTAACACTTGTGGCCGGATCTCTATCAAACTCACGCAGAATCATACGGGTAAATCTGCGCTGACGAAGATTCATGTTTTGATCCCTTTGGAGATTTAAAAAACCATTTTCAATTATTTGGCGATGCACTCTTACAAATACTGAGCGAGTTGGATGTCGTCTGTTTGGAAATCTTCGTGCGTATTCTCTGGCTGCTTCTGCTGCGTTTCCATTTACAAAGCCATACACAAAATGAATATCCGCTAACTCTTGATTGGAGAATAAAAATGGCATTTTTATAAAACTTACAAAAAAAAAACAGGTAAAAGAAACTAAATTTCATGCATTCACAAGTGCAAAAAAAACGTTTCAGATTTCAACAGACAACAAAACTAACTGTCAAATCATTGACGTTTAACTTTATTCTGCTTTCAATTTCAAAAATATTTGCAGGCACATACGACTTATCGAGATACTGACTTTTTAACTTTATTTTATCTTATATAATTAAAAATGCATCGACCCTTAAAAATCGAAATATTCAAAAACGGCTAACTATCAGGAAAACTCACAAGAGAGTTTTTTTATGTTGAAAAGTGGGAAGGATCAGTTTTTATATTCAAAAAGCAAAAAATTGCAGTAAGAAAATTTTTTTGGTCATGTTAATACACTATAGGTACAGTAGAGAGCATCCTCTAGCGGCTACAGTAAAACTATGCCCATGGTTCGTTTTGTCGTACCAAAAAACCCTTGTATACCAATTTTCACTATTATACATCAAATATTGTTCGAAATATTTAAAAAAAACTATTTTAGAAAGTAAATTTAAACACCCTGTATTTCGGAAGCCACGCATTTTTCGACCCATGTTTATATAGACTTTATGCATTAATTTTAAAAGTTCTATCGAATTTCAAAGTTATGCAACAATAAACTGAAACACCCTGTATATACAGAATCACCAAAAGCGTTAAAATGAAGCAGTGTAAAAATGCAATACTAGAAACCATTACAATTACATATGCAGCAGTTGCAACTTTAAAATTTAGCTTGAACTTCTTCAGATATACATTTTTCAGGTCGTTTGGTATAGGATTGCATTGAATGTGAAAGGTCTTGTGATTATCGAAAAGCCTTGTGTTGAGGCACAGTGAATATATCTGGAAAACGAATGATTATCTTGGGCTGGATGATACTATGACGAGGAATCAATTTTCTGTCCAAGTCTAAAGATTTCTTATGGAGCATTTCATAGGAATATCGCGTAATGTGTAATCATACCTTGTTAGATTGTGTATCAGATGGCAACAGTAATTTTCTATTTTCTGCGAACGTTTTGACGTATATTGGTCTAGGCAGGGATAATATAATCGCATACGTTGAAGAATTTTTGAAATAACTTGTGTTCCACATGGGATTTTCTTGAACAACTTGGTCAAAATATTTTTGTTGGTATACAGAAGCTTTAATGCTGAATAGCAGTTATTAACTATAACAGGGACGTAATGTCGGCCCCTTAATTTTTTGTCAAAGAGAGCACGCTGAAGGTTCTTACATGGTCAGAAAATTTTAACTGTAATTTGTTGTCCTTCAAAAAACTGGATTCCGTTTTTGGACCGGAAAAAATCAGTTGGTTTTTACAGTGTTCAATTTAAGAGCATTGACCTTTGCATACATCTGCTTACCTGTAGATTCTTGTTCATAAGTCTGGTAGCATTTTCGTCATTATTCTGATGAAATGATAGATACATTTGGGTATTATAGGCGTAAGTCATTATTCTACCATTTTGACCAACTTTTATTACATTTGAGGTGTATAATGTGAATAGTAGTGGCCCTAAAGCAGAACCTTGTGGCACCCCATATTTTATAAGCTTAAGTGATAGAATTTTGTTGCCTAATGAAACTTTTTAGCTTCTGCCAATCATTTGGTGCTGAAAAAAGTCTTTTCGGAAGGTCCTAAATAATTCAATTTTGGTAAAAAGATTTCGTGGTAAATTTAATGGAAAGCTTTTGAAAAGTCAAGTGCCATAAAAGGCATTTGAAAAGCTGAAAAGAGCTTACCATTTTGGCTTTTAAAACTATTAAAGCTCTTCCTAGAAGAAAGGAAGTTTCGGATCAAAGTGAACAATGTTTTGTTTATAACAAAGGCCGGTGGCCCTCAGGGTTCCGTCTCAGGAACAATCATTTACTCTCTTTATATACACGATATATCTTGCCCCAGTGATTGTGAAGCCTATCAATATACTGCACCAGTTGCCAAGTAGTATAAATTCGGAAGTATCTAATAAAATGCTCATATTACAGTGATCTGTTGTAGGTGTTGATGATTATCGTTGTCATTTAACATCTCACGATGGTACTGATTTCTTGTCTTATCAAAAGTAGGCACCAATTTTAATATAGATACATCTTTGTGGAATACGCGTGAGCGATTTACATCATAAAGGTTATCTAGCGTTGCTGGCCAAGATTATAGTGAAACTGATTTCAGTTCGTGCTAGGCTTCTGCCAAATTTTAAGACATCCTTAAATGCGATGGTCTCAAGGTACCTCTGACGAAAACGGTGCAATCATCCTGATGGAGATGGTAGTTCCTGATTGAAAACCATATACAAAGTACAATCTTTGCTTCGCTAGACGCTGTTGGGTGTGACAGAACAGATCACTATATCAGATAATGAAGTCGACATTAAGCCTGATACCAATGATGAGGTTGAGATCAAAGATGAGGCAACTAACATGGAATGCATTGAATAAAACTGCTGCTGCTATTGTACTAAACAGTTTCAGTCAGATGAACTCAGAGATAGCCATGAATGAACACAGCTGCGCTTGGAGATTGCAGACCTCAGTGAAATTGCTTCAGACAATCTGAATGGTGATTGCAGAGAGAAGACCAGGCTAATGTGTGTCTGTTTGAACAGTGATTCTTGCGTGATATCAGAGGATGCACTTTGCTGCTTCCAAAATAGTAGAATTCATTACTCAAAGGCTCAATATTTATGCATATTTTAGGCTCTCGATATAATAGTCATCAGTTAATATTTTATTAATCACAATTTAATTTGTTTAGTTATTTTTTGTTAGCTATTATCTGCTATTTTAGTATTTTCACTTTTTTATACTACAATATACTCTATGTTGTTCTTGTAATAAGCTTATAATTCTTGTGGGCTTTTACTCTCATTAGTAAAACACCTTAATTCATTTATGGTTACCTTTATTCTATCTATAATCCTTGTTGCTAGGTATTGCGAGGCGGTATATTATTTGCAACACCTAACATCCTCTAACAGCTAACAATAACAATATTTTTGCAGTGTGTTCGTTCGCTACTACATCATGTTCATACAAAATCTTATAAAATCGAAGTCATAAAAAGCTTTTCCTGTTGAACTAAGTAGGTTTGTCTCAAGGGTACTTTATTCTCATTTCAAGGTGTAATCACAATAATGGTATATTGTTGAAATCGTATTGTGCTTAATCAAAATGTCAAAAATAGTAAATGTTCATGTTTATTTAGGTTTCAATACCTCTAATTTTCATAGGGGTTACTTTGCATCCAACTCTAATGAATCAGAAAATCGTCAAGGTCTACGTGAACTCTTTACTTCTACATCTAGTACTCTAGAATGTAATGGGGTACCAGTCAGTTTATGAAAAAGTATATGATGAGAACACATATTTCTGGTATATGTTGATTACCAATATTTGCGAAAAAGTGGCATTTGTATTTTTCAAGTTACAGTTTTGCCCCCTAATGACTATTTTTGGATGCTTAAGACAATTTTCAATAGCTTCCCTTGGCGTTTTTTATTATGAAATTTTTGATCTGATAGCTCTAACTTGAGTTGTTGTCGAGATACACCCAAATTCCATTCTTACTAATCAAAGACAAATTTATTTCTGCGACACTGATTAATTACACTTACTAATTTATTTAAATTAAGTTGAATTAAGTTAAATTATAACGATATCGATTGGACTATTATTTCACCCTAACTCCACACCGTTGACGGTCTTAGCTGTGACTGACTGCTTCCGCCATCTAGTCGGGTATTTATCCACCAATCGAGCGTCGAGAAATGTTACACCGTTTCCCAGACAGGGTCGTGAACTTCCATGGTACGTTTTGAATACCCACGATTACATTGCGAACGGTACACGGTCACGTAACTCTGGCTGCCTAGGTCGACCTTGCCAATTGACTTCTCGCCGCTCAACGTCTCTTCTATACGAGGGCGTTACAATATAAAGTATTTACTTTCTACTTTCTTATCGCTTCAAGGAAGAGGTGAACATCATCTGCGTAGACTGGAGCAACGGTGCAGCTCTTCCCAATTACGTGAAGGCTTCCGCCAACACAAGGCTCGTAGGCAAGCAACTGAGCCTCCTTCTTCGTGGCCTGGTAGAGAAAAATGGATTGTCGCTCAGGAACACGCACCTTATCGGGTTCAGTCTGGGAGCTCACATCGCAGGGTTTACCGGAGCTGATTTGGGAAACCTCAGCAGAATAACTGGTTAGTGATATTGAATATCTATTAAATATCCAGACAACCGAATATTTGACAAACAACGCGTTCTACCAATGTATTTGACCACTTATGATCACATGACCTCAAATATGTTCTCTATTCCAACCAACGAATTCGAGTAGATCAGAACAATCGAAGCCTATATGTTTATATGGCATTATTTGTCAAAAAATTAACCCTTGTAGTATGAACTTTCATCCTGACTACAAACTGAGGCTTCACAAGTATGAAATGCTTTAAGTATATATTAAAACAGTTTTTGGCGAATAAATGTTTGTGTTCCGGATCCGATTTTGTCTCCGTCTGATTCTAAGTTTTAACTGTGGATTCCACGTCATTTTTAATGTGTTTTTATTTAATTATATCTTATTCACTTTTTATCTGTGTATGTGTTTATCTACATATCCTAATGTCTATTTATAATATTTTACTTATATACTCATCTATATTTTTCCAATCCATATTTTATTTTTTGTCTGTTTTGTCTCGCCTACGATTTTAATTCTGTATCATATTCATACACATTCATATTTTCTTTTTGGTCAACCCAATACAATTTGTGGAAAATAAAAATATGGATTTGAAGTCAGGGTTCTCACAAGTAACTTAATATCAGAAACGATATCTAGTATCTGTTATTGTGGTGATACTGATCTTATTTTTTCTCTATCTTCTGTAGGCTTGGATCCAGCTGGTCCCCTTTTCGAGGCTCAAGACCCCAGAGCAAGACTCGACGAAACAGACGCAGCTTTTGTAGACGTCATCCACAGTAATGGAGAAAATCTCATCCTGGGAGGCCTAGGGTCATCTCAACCCATGGGTCACGTGGACTTCTTTCCCAATGGAGGCAGAATGCAGAAGGGATGCAGTCATTTGTTCGTTGGCGCTGTGACAGACATCATTTGGTGTAGGTATTATACTGGAATCTAAATTTCAAATTAATTTTCTAGCAGTGGTATTCACCGGTTTCAGTTGAAGAGAGGGTTAGAGAACGTCATAGTTACCTCTTAGTTGAGGTAAAAAATTTATCCCTCAGGTGGTACAAAATCAGCGATAAGACATTTCTTAATGGAACGCTGGTTTCCTTTAGTTGTTTTTTGTTGTGACTGCTATTGTAATCGTCATTTCTGCTGTTTTGTTTCCGGTTATGATTTAGGTTACGTAAACAAGCTGGAAAAGATAAAATGTCTTAACATTCATCACGATTGTATATAACTTTGGACACTGCAAAAGGTTCAATAACTATGTCTATATGTTTTTGTACATTTTGTGGTCCAACGCTTTGAGAGTATTTATTGTGATGTTGGAATTTTTACTGTAATAAAGAGATCTTGTACCAACACTTCACTAAGAGAAAATGCTTCTGCTGGGTATTACTCAGAAATAATGGGTTGTCCAATAGGGACGCAGGAAAGTAAACGTCAATTTGACATAGACGCCATCTTTGTTTTATGTCACCGACATGTCATTTTGTTAGTTATATTATAGTTAAAGTTATTCAAGAGCACTACAAAAATGGTGCAAAAATAAAAACACGTTTCGCGCGCTTCGTGAACATTTCGGTCGCAACAACCGCCCAAACGAAACAACCATCGGTCGTCTGGTGCGTAAATTCGAGGCAACAGGTTCTGTGGCAAATCTGCCAGGCTCTGGCCGGCCAAGGAGCGTTCGCACACCGGAAAATAGTGCTGTTGTGAAGGAGAGACGATCCGAAACAATCAACAACGCGTCGATCCCAAGAATTGGGCATTTCGAGAACCAGTTTGCTCCGCATTCTCCACAAGGATTTGATTGTACACGCCTACAAGATCCAATTGACGCAAGAGCTGCGTCAGGCCGACCATTTTTTGCACCGAACGTTCTCAGATTGGCTCCTTGAACACCGCCAAATTGATGCCAATTCTTCATCAAAAATCATGTTCAGCGACGAAGCGCATTTCACTTTGAATGGGACGGTAAACAAGCAAAACTGCCGCATCTGGGCGAACGAAAATCCCCGTGAGTATCAAGAGCAGCCGATGCATCCTCAAAAAGTGACTGTTTTGTATGCATTGTGGTCAAAAGGCATCATCGGACCTTACTTTTTCGAAAATGCGGCCGGGGACGCCGTTACCGTCAATTCTGAGCGATATCACGTGATGATAGAGGACTATTTTTTGCCGCAACTTGAAGGAATGAATAGGGACGATGTTTATTTCCAACAAGACGGTGCAACATGCCACACAACCATCGTCCATCGATTGCAGTCCTTCTTCGGTGATCTCGTGATTTCGCGCAGAGGAAATGTGCGATGGCCACCAAGATCGTGCGATTTGACTCCCTTGGACCTCTTTTTATGGGGATATTTAAAAAGCAAAGTCTACGTCAACAAACCAGCCACCCTCTAAGAACTCAAAAACAACAACATTGCCGAGATAAATGCCACAGAATCGACCATGTTGCAAAATGTATTTGAAAGTTTCGACCATCGCGTGGACGTCTGTAAATCCAGTCGTGGTGAGCGATATTATTTTTCATACATAAGTGGTATAAATGAACCTTCAAAATAAAGTACCCAACTTGATTTGAATATCAATCTTTCTTGTTTTAATATGCGTTTACTTTCGTTTACAACCCCATATATAAGTGCTATTGAGACCACTGATATAGGAGCAGGGTGTCGGTAAACATGGAGCCTCCAATCAATATCGTGATATTTGCGTCTTTTCATCATGTTTACTAATACCAGTGGAGATATCCATTGTCTGAAAATACCCTTGTCGCTCGTGAGTTCTTTTTTTTTCTCTATGATGAGACTTGTTGTTAAACACAGTAAAAAATATTTTTAATATCCAATATTCCAAACACAGTTCTAAATATAAAATACAACCGATAATAGAAAATAATAACAGAACACAAGACACAAGTGCTCAATGTCAAAATTCAAGCCAATCTCAAATCAGAATGAACTTTTAACACAGAACTAAATATCCAGAGCTACCCTTATGTTGCAAAGCTGTCACCGTGACGAAAAGTGGTTTATGAACCCAAAATTGAACCATGACGGTGCAAAGCTACTCTAATTTAACCTAGGGTTATCCTACGTGCAAGTTTAAACCTTTAACCCAAAACTGTCCAAACCACCGTAACGTACGTCCCAAAAGTTTTGGCACAAAATTCATTGGCTTGAATGTTAACAAACACAAAATAATATCTAGTTGCCTTTGTGAACAAACGTTTGTTTACTTACTTCACTGTCAGTTGACATTTATTTATTTTGAGGTTATCGCTTCAAGATGTCGCATAAATTAGAAATAAGAAAAAGTGTCAACAAGTTGTTTGGGCAGGTACCCAAAGCTGATATTTGTCGAATATTCCGGAATGAAGGTAAACATCGGATTTTATACGGACAGCGTAGAGGAAGGCCTTGACAATGTTAGATACAAACACAAAGCGAAATTTGCAGATAAAATCCTTGTCTGGTGCACGATTTCAAACAGGGGTATATTCCAACCTTTTGTGGGAAGAGTGAGGGGTGGAGCTTTGAACAGTCAGAGCTATATTGATAACTGCGTTTCCAAATTGCTTCAGTTTATTCGGGGATTCGTGAGAGTATAGCCTACTTACATATCAAACTATCAGTATCCAGATAGAGCAAAATGTAATGCATGTTATTTAATTTTGTAAAGAACCTAATGAGATACGTTCGAAGAAATTTGCGTCTGGTAGGGCACTCCTGATAATTCGATAGTATAGTTTAGTTGAGTATTGAGTTGTAACTTATGATAACTAGTTAGTGTTTAAGTACATTTCTTCATTCTAAAAATCCGGTAAATATTTTGTGTCAAAGCTCTCAGCACATACGTTAGATGAGCTTTAAATACCTAAATACTACTTATCAATTATTGATAGGCACCCTCTCAATGACTGTGCTTCTCCTCACTGCTTTTCATTGTCTTATCTGGTGTCTGGGTAATCTGACCTGACAAACTTTGCAACGTTCTGATCGACAATGGGCTGGAATATAGACATTGGACATTGTATGAACATTTTGCATCTTCCTACAATAATAACTTTAGGGTCAATTTCACCGTTATTCTCCACCTATAGGGTAACAGACCGTCAGATACAGCGAATGAGCTTCAAGTTCCAATCAACACATTTTAGCAACCCATTCAAGAAATGTTGGATTTTTGAATTAAATTTTTTATTCATGTTTATATTATTTTCTTCAATTGATACTGGGTGGTTTTTCCTATAAACCTCTTGCAGATAGGCATTAAGCACCTACTTGATGACAGGCTCTACCAAAAGATATTGCTCGTTTCCAAACATTCATTCACTTACTTGCCGTTCATCAGAACCATTATGGCACCTTAGATTGATATTCCCACAAAACCATTCAGGTTTTTTAATATCCATACATCCATAAAGTTGAATATTTTTCGTTGTTCAGGAACTGAACAAACATCCACACTATATTCACAGTGATTAAGAAATTCCCAAATATATGCCTTAAAGCTACCAGCAAACCTAAAACCTGAAAGAAAACTACAAATTTACACATTCTAGGTTATATTTATATTAGACATTATTTGTAATACAGCTGATTATTGCATTTCAAGGAGTGACACATGTGTGGGATGTGTCAACTCTTGGTACCAGTCACAAAACATATACTCTGAAGGTTTAATTCCATGCTATTAAATGACAACACGGTGTTTTGTGTTTGTCAACGGCCATTTTGTGAGGGTGCGACAGGGTTGCCAGATTGTGCATTAATATCCCGTTTCACCCTCCTGGTCCCAGAGAAGTAAGTTCCGCCAACTGTTCAAATATACTCTACTATGCTGTATAAGACTAGTCGTGACATTTTTTACAAAATCATTGCACAACACTTGAAAAAATGCAACTGAAAATTTAAAATTATTTCCATGACGCCGCAATATAGCTCCGTCGGTATCTTGGGTTATACATCTTGACAGTAGGGATGTTCGATACGATCCTATATTTAGAAGTATCAATACATTTCACGAGTATCGTCATCTTTCGATCCGGACTGTATCAGAAAGAGTGACTGCCATTTGGCTGCGACATTACCCTGCCAAACAGACATATCTTTCATCATTTTCAAAAAAAAATGTATAAAATCGTAAAATTGGTGAAGTTTCACTTCATACGTTGTTACCAGACATGCCCAAATCATCAGTTGCTGCCGTGATATTCATCCCGACCTCTGCATCTCCACGGCTAGGCGACCTGTATGTTAAATTTGTATTGATAGGGCAGCGGGTTATGCTATAAATCGCAACGGTTAGATGATACCAAAAATATTTTCATAAATAGGAGATCTGTCCTTTTCCGGATCGAACAATCTACCAAAAATGCTTATAATCATGACACCTGGTAAATTTTCACGAAAAAATTCAAAACCAGCAAATGTAAAAGATTCATTTCGCACCCTCCACCACGGGACGTGATCGTCGTTAGACTTGGCAACCCTCGAGTGACAGATAGATATCTCCCCAGTCAAAAAGAAAAATAGACAAACAATAAACATTACTAGTTTTTTTGATATTTGGACTTAAAAGGCACTATTTGTGGAAACATTTTTCATAATTTTTTGTCTATGTCCATAGTAATTGCATTATGCATCAGGGAGATGTAGGGATTGACACGTCTTACAGATATTATCTGTGTTTTAGGATGGGGAGGACATAATGTTTTTATTGCCTTGAAGAACTTCATTAACCCATAAATTAATAAATGATTACTATTATGACGTAAAGGAAGACGAGGAATTGGATGGGATGTATTTTATATTCTATTTTCTTGCAAAATACAGACAAATCCACACTATTGAACGGGTATGTAATGATAACTTTCAGTATATTGAAGTTGGTAAATTCGAGAGTGCCATGCATTAAC